ACCCGCAGTCGGATGGCCAAACCGAGCGGGTGAATCAATGCCTAGAGACCTTTCTTCGCTGTTTTGTACATGCATGTCCTCATCAGTGGCATTAATGGATGTACTTGGCAGAGTTCTGGTATAACACCAGTCTGCATTCGGCTCTCGGGCGTTCTCCTTTTGAAGTGCTTTATGGATATGCTCCAACTTAGTTTGGCGTCAGTCCGGCAGATGAGCAACCAGTTACTGATCTCACCAGCTGGCTTAAGGATCGTTCCCTCATGTCTGAGGTTATCCTTCAGCATTTACTGGATGCCAAGCAAAGGATGAAAAAACAGGCTGATGGCAAGCGCTCTGAGCAACAGTTCGAGATCAACGACTGGGTCTTCCTCAAACTTCAACCCTATGTGCAATCTTCTTTGGCAGACCGCACCACTCAGAAGTTGGCCTTTAAGTTCTTCGGCCCCTTCAAGATTTTGTCCAAGGTGGGTAGTGTTGCTTATAGGCTTGAGCTCCCGGCCACCTCTGCTGTGCATCCGGTGTTCCATGTGTCGTAGCTTAAAAAAGCCGTGGGTGCTCGCCATGATGTCACACCGTCGCCGCCACCAGCTTCCATTCTCTGGAGTATCCCAAAAAGGATTCTTCAGCGCCGGCAAATTCAGAAAGGTGCGCGTCTGATCCATCAGGGTCTTATTCAATGGTCTAACATTCCTGTTTTATTGGCTACATGGGAGGATATGGAGTACCTCAGGCAACAGTTCCCTCGCGCCAGCCTTTGGGATGATTCAGGCGAGCAAGGGGAGGGGGGTGTTAGCACTGCATCGACGACATCAGAAGCAGCTGTTCAACGCCCGACAACAAGAGAAGGTGAAGCTGGGCCTCGGGAGAAGAGGCCGGCTCGGCCCAGGACGATGAATCCTCGTGTCTTTGGCCCAGATTGGAGGAACCCGTGAAGATGCCGCCATGCTGTGTGCGTGTGTGCGTATCCTGTATAAGAACTGGGAGTTGCGTGTGAGAGGGGTATGGACTGAGTTGTAACAAACCTTCCTAAAACATCGCCTGTGCTCTGCTCTCCCCTGCCTTTGCTCTGATCTTCCGATTCCCCTTCCCCTGCTGCTAACACTCTGCCGGGAGGATGGTCAGAGGCACGGCGACGAGGACGATGCCAGTGGAGAGAAGGCCATGAAGGGGGTGGCAACGGGGACCTCGCTGGGGTGTGCGCCTGTGCTTTACGAAACCCTAGCCGCCGTTTTCACCTGTCGCGCAATCACCCTCGTCGACCTTGCCTGCATCCTCTTCCTGTTTAACTCACTCTAGGCTGTTCTTTTTCAGTTTGCTGAGGGCCAAGGGGTTCTTCTCAATGTCAACACCCAGAAACCAGATCGAGGTGATTTTTTATTTCTTATAAATACATTTGACCCATACTTTTGCATCATGTATTGTTAATCTGGAAGCCACCTTGTGTGCAGGTCTGGGACATTGATGCGGGAAAATTATGTTATCCACACCTGATTCAAAAGGCGATCACGGCATTCTCTATGTCGCAGAAGAGCTCGTACATGTGAGTTATAGACTACTGAGTCGATGATCTCCAAAGGGTTTAGTGCCTGCCAGATATGTTGGCGCCGTTCGCTGGTCTGGATCGTCCAGACCAGCCGGCTGATCCCCCTCACATTTCACTGTTCATCAAACCAGCCAAACAGTGTTTCTCTCTCACACAACCAGCCAGTTTCAGCCAAGTTTCGTACCAGCGAACGGGGCCGTTGGGGATAGTTCTAGAAGTGTGTCTCTAATGAAGCTTAGTCTGGCCAAGAGATGCCTACCTGACATGGCATATACTGCATTGCTTTTACTGATTCTTATGGTATGATGTTGCTAAACTACAAATATCTGTGTATCGTGCTCATAATCAACTTTGTCAACCAGTCTCATTTTTTTTTGTATTTTCCAGTATGTGCTTATATTCAAAAGGTAGCATTATTCAGCTATCGGTTTAATTTTTAGAATAGTTCTTGCAAAAAGAACAGCTGTACATTGATGTGGAACACTAAACTTTAACCCATTTTTGTTTTGGGTGTCGGTTTCTTTACTGAAGGTTCTGCTGCCGGTGCTGCTAATGATGTGAAAGAATCTGTTTCGCCCCAGCCTTTGTCTCAATTGATCAGGTCAACCTCTTCCTACTGCTCAACTTAATCCTGCGTGTTCCACAAAAAAAACTTCATCTTAATAGCCTATATCTACTATCCCTGTTTGATCTTTCATTCCACTATTTCTAGACATACAAATGTCTCATTAAGGTACACTCTTCTTCTTAAGGTGCTCATATATTCAGAGATGGGGTTATGAGTTTGTTGGATATTAAAGCTAGCAAAGCAGTATCCATATCTGGTAAAACTATGCAGCAGCGATCACAGAAGGGGGCTAAAAATGTAACCTCATTGTATAGTGTTTGTGCCAAGGCAGGCAAAATTGCTATTGAATACGATAGCATCGATCTGTACATTTGGAACATTGCTGAGGTTACAAGTATACATAATTCCTCATCTATGGACAGCCATATTCTACCTGTTCAGAGCCTTAACCTAGGAGTTGTACACTGACGTTTAGCAAAACAAATATTTAGCTCTTGCTCAAATAATAGTTTGTACACTGTCCACTGCCATAAATTTCAAGTACCATGTTATATCCAGTCCATGCCTTTCTTGTGTCAAGGCTCACAGTATTTTCTGTTACTACCGTGGTTAGTGGTACCTGTGTTTCCTTATTAAAATTTACTAATCCCTCTGCCAACAAATATAAAGGAAAATTTGTCCACGAATATAAAGAATTTTGGATAAATTGCCATTTATTTTTTTGAAAGTAATAGCAGGAGCTCTGCCTTTCAATTAAGAAGAATAAAATTGGCCTAGTTTATAAGAGAAACCAGGCCTGAAAACCTTACATAGGCACAGATTAAAACACAGAAAATACCCACAACACCAGAACATCATAGCCCTGGCGACTAACACACAGAGGTAACACAAATGCCAACGACGCCCACCGTGTGTCCTCAGTGCCGAACTGACCACAAGCAGCAAAAAGCAGCTCCAGCTTCCCATGGTGAACAACAGCCAAACGCTTTGATCTCCTCCCATCATCCGGTATCTTCGACAAGATCATGTACCGAGTCTCACCTTGCGCCGTCATTTAGTGCCCTCTATAGCAGCTTGGCCTGGCACGGCATGAACGAGTCCTCGAGCAGCAAGGAAGCATTACGTGGCAATCTGCCCCAGCATGGCTGGTCCGTCAAGGCCACTGAGTGCCACCAGCGCCTTGATGACAAAGTCGGACATCGGACCTTTGAAGAGGTTGAGGTAGCGCAGCAAGGTCATCTCCATGGTTTCGCCTTCTTCCTGTGTGACGCCCAGCCGCTTCATGAGCACTTGCCTTGCTTTGCTTTGCGTGTCACCACACGACCAAGCAATGGCTGCTAGGCGCGCACTGCACCGGGACGGCTTGCTCGGCCTATTCTTTTCCTTCGGTGGCTTCACTAGGCCATGTTGTTGTGGAGGAAGCAGGGGTTGTTGGATAGGCTTGTTATTGACTGGATGAAGTTTGCCAGCGCTACCTCATGTGCAGTCTGGCCATCATCCTCTGGCAAAGGTGGCGAAGTGTGTCCCTATCCTACAATGTCCATGCAAGGGTCCGCACTAGAAGCAACTCCAAAGCCATGACAGGGGCGTGCGGACTCGCAGCGTGGACGCCTGGTGTACACGCAGCCCGGACGAAAACGACACCTCCTCAACCTGAACCCCGTCGTCCCCTCCAAGGTCGCCTTTGCCAGTGTATCCTCGAGCTGATGGCTTGTTAGTGCACTGGGCGATGCATCGATCTCCAGTGTGGGGGTGGTAGACTCAACAGTCTCTAACCTTAGCATTTGAGCAGACGAACTTGTTGTCTGCTTCTTTAGTTGTATAACAGGACAGGAGGGCTCATCATTTGTTGAGGCCGGGGAGAGTAGAAGTGAGTCAGATTCCCCACCGGTAGCATGGGTAGGTGAGCAACATGAAAGAGAATTCAATGGGGGTTCCTTAGCTGCGACAATCTCTAGTTGGAGAAGGGCATCTTCGATATCTTGGATTGTAACCTCCGATGTTGCTGACCTGTTAAACGAAGAAGAATTGATCTTGTTGGATGTTGTCGTCACTTTCACTGGGGAGCCACTAGGGGCAATCTCCTTGGGCCTATGAAGTTGGTCTCCCCAGCTCCTTGGTTCCTGGCACGGTGAAGTGGCCACTGCAGTGTTGTCGCCTGGTTCACGCCTGACCAATCTTGATTCAACGTCGAAGCTATCTTTAGCTTTTCTGACACGGCATGTATCTGAAGCATAAGATTTTCAGCAAGCTTCATCCATTTTTCATTGGAATCTTGCAACTTTTGCAGCTGTGCACTGAGCAGCAGGGAGAACTCACTACGCAAGCTTTGTATCTCTGCATCAAACATCTTCTTGATTTTGTGCTGAAAATAGTTAGCATATTCGGTGAAGAAATGCTGAGCTGCAGGATCATCGCTCCTTAGGTGCAGACGCTCAGTGCGACAATCATTCTGGTGACCTTGTGATTGTTCCTCCCGTAGAAGACGTTGCGGCAGAGGTGGGCGACAAGGCATGGTCGATTGACGGGGATGTTGGTGACGCTGACGACAATCCCGCTCACGATGGCCCGAGCGGCGGCACCGGAAACAGGTGATGGGATCTCGGCAATCCGCAGCCCAGTGGTCCCGTGCAAGGAAAATGAAGCAGCGACCTTCAATGATCTTCCGAATGCGGGGAGAGAGACGAGTCATGCTCCCATCATTGCTACTGGGATGGGTTGGCGAGTGGTGCAGCTCCTCCCGTGGATACTCAACCTTTCTCCACAAGGTGTTCCTGGATGAATTGATGCTTGAAGTAGCAGAGCACGAAGGGCTATCAGCGAAATGAACTCGAAGACCTACACAACGGCGAGGAACCTCACGACGAGCAGGATCTATGATAAATTGATTTAAGCTTGTGGTCCTGCGGCTGCTGGTGATGATTTTTGCCCGATGAAAGAATGCTTCACGATATCGGCGTAGGTACGGCTTGTCTTGGGCTCTGACTCGGGCATTGGCGGCACTACCATGTCGTCACCAGGCTGTGGCCGACGTTGATTGAGCGGCGGTGGCGGCGGAGTGTCCACGGAGTTGTGTAGATCATCCGTCGACGAGTTGGGAATGGAGCGCCCGTTGCTGGAGTTGCAGCTGCTGAGAGGCGGCGACGATGAATGCGCCCGGGATCCACCAGGACGAGGAAGCGGTGATGGCGAGCCCACCAACTGGACCTCATCCACATCCTCATCGTCGGAATCGCTGTAGCTGAACGTGGAGACGGAGGCTTCCGGCAGCGGTGGCTCGGGCATGACGGGGATGGAGGCTTGAGCGACGCGGTCTTCATCTCCGTTCTTGGGCTTGGCGACAAGCTTGGTGGCCATGGCCGTCATCGGCTTGGCAGCGACCTTGCCGGGGTTGGGTCTAGCGTCAGCAGCGAGGCAGGCGGACAACTACTTGAAGGAGCTCCTCGCCCGCAGTCAGCTATCGGGCTGCGACGAGTTTCCCCACGTGCAGGCTGGCCGGTGAGCAGCGCCCGCGAGGGCACCTTGATGGAGGGATGCAGGCCCTACATGTTGGAGATCTGTTGGGGCTCTGTAGATGGCGATGGCAGCTTCCTGGCAACGGGGACTAGGAACCAGCAACGAGATCTCCCCAGTCCCAACCTCCTTCCTCCAATCCACAGCAGGCGGAACTTGTAAGGAGCTCACCCGCTGCAGCTCGCAGGCGAACGCGCGGAGCCGGCGGGCCGCTTGGGGCAGCGGATCTGGGGGCAGACTAGGCAGGCGCCGCCACCGTGCCGTGGGCCGGTCACGCAGGCCGGAGCGGAGGCGCTGGGAAGGGAGGAGGCGTCGAGGAGGCGGCGGAGTGGAGGAGGCTCCAAGGAGGTGGCGGCGGCGCTGGGAGGTTCGGGAGCGACGACGCCGAGGAATCGAAGGAGCTAACTTGTTAACTTGCCGCCAAATCTTAACCAGCTATTTAATCTATTATTAGGTTACTCCCTCTGTCCAAAAAAACTTGATCCTGCAGGATGTTTTCTTACCATGTGGAGTTCTGTTCTAAAATAGCAATGTTGTAAATTCGTGATCAGTGTAGACCTCTTAGATGCTTGGTTCAGTTAATAGGATATCGGTTCTTTCTATTATATGGTGGTTCGTTGTTTTTCCATGTAAGTTGGTGTTCACAGTTCCAGCTCAATTGGTCCAGGTCTCGCAACCCTTGTCTGGTTCAAGTCTCCGAGTTCGATGCACAAAATTTTTGCATTGTTGCCAATGCGAGCTGGTAATCCATGTAGCTAACATCTATTTGAATCCTGTTTTCCAAGCAGCGATCCATCCTGATGCTGCTCTTCGTGAACTACCTTGGACACTGAAGCTGTGAGCTCGTCACCAACCTGCTCTTAGCCTTGGGAGTAAGTTGTTCCTGTTCTTTGCACAGATGCGTCGAGGTCATCATCAATGTTCAGCTTTGCGTTCAGGTTGTCATGGATAGATGTTAGAAGTTGTCGATGCTTTGGTGAAGAGGCTCCTACATCGTACATGCAAGTGGATGCCGCCAGGTCCAGTGAAGAGGATTAACAACGAGGGTGATCGGATGGTCGTCAACAACAGTAAGTAAAACAACGGCTGAACCTGCTATTTTTTGTTTTTAAAATGCACATGATGCGAATATAACTTCAGACCCGACTCAAAGATCAAAAGTTTTGCGTGGTGTATCAATATTCCAGCTGCTATGAACCTTAGTTCATATCGGGGATAGAGAGGATAACCATTGCCAAAGAGGAAGGCCGGGCAAAGTCGGCGTGGAGGGAGACTAAAATATTTGAGGTAACTAGATTGTTTATTGTTCATTACTTGATTCCTCATAAACTGGTTACAGGGTATATATATATAGAGGTGCCCAGCCCCTTGCTCAGGTGCCCAGCCTTTAGCTCCTCGTTTCTCTCCCCAACATTAACTCTAATCTCTCAACCATACTACTAATTCTCATTGATTACAGCCGCATGCTCTTACTGCTGTGTTTCTATCTCTATTGCTGCAGCCATAACTACTAATCCCCAACCATCTACTAATTACTATTGATCACAGCTGCATGCACCTCTATTGCTGCGCTCCTGGAAGCATCTCGAGCCCTGGGATGCCTTTGGTACTGGCGCCTCCACATCACACCAGCTCCCAGTTAGCCATTGTTTTCCAGCTAATTTGCATTATAAGATTTCCCAGTCATGATACTTAATTACATGTTTGTGTATGTCCCTTTAGTACTGCATAGAATTATCAAATTGTTTTATCTCTGTTTTCTTATCACTTTTGGGTACAATTACAGCCTCACAATTCACGTGAAACTTTTGTTGATCCTTGTTTGATTAAAAATGGAATGTTACCATGTAAAATTAGACTTTATTAAATTCAGCCTAATTCTGAGCTTAAAAGGCCAGCGTAGTTCTGATGACCTCTACTGTTCTCTACCACAGTGTTGGTCTGCTGTGCAGAGAGATTTCGAGGAAGATTGTTCAGTGGAGATGGACCTGACCATGGCAGGAGTAAGTGGTACCTGTGGGAAGCAGAATGACTGCTGGGAATCCAAGAGTTGCGGTGCAAAACTTGAATATGGCTCCTGTCGTATATTTTTCTGTGGTGGATATTTTTCGAAACATATTTAACGACCAGTACACTTTGTGTAATGAAACAGAAAAGACAGAATATGTAATGGAAATTGAAAACAAACACGATCTTAGGAGGAGCTGTTGATGTTCCATTTTTTTACAGCTTCCTTCTCCTGCCTTGCCCATGATACAGTGTGCTTCAAGGTTACTTGGTGGTTGCTCTACTTCTCTTACCATGGTTAGAAGATTAGATAGAACACTGCAATTTGTACAGCCATGGTACCCTTTCAGGGTTATAGATTTTTCAATTTTCCTTTCGCCTCTGTTTTCTTAGGTGAGGCTCATTTCCGCTTCCCCATCTCTCTGGACACTACAGTCCCTACACATTGTTTTCTTATCTATCTACTAATGCTTCTTTTGTGGCGATTTTACATTGCCTCAATCCATGTCATACGCAAAAGCAAGCTTATTCATTTCTGCTGTCCTACTGTTAGTGGGGTTTCAGATTACATAGTGCGAGCATATGTAACAGTGATGGTACCAATGTTTTCAGATCGGACGACTAATTGCGATTAGTCGTTCTTATCGTAACCAGGTGCTCGATAAGGGCCCTCGATTACTTTAGACCGATTAGAAAACTTATCGTCCGATAAGTTGCGACTAATCACGATTAGTCGTCCGATCAGACTAGCCGGACGACTGGTTCGGGGGAGGGAGAATTTGGCCCAGCTAAAGAATTCGGCCCACCTTTAGCTGGCCCATTAGGGTAAGAAGAAGAGGAGTGAGTGAGTGACCTGAGTTGCAGCCGCACGGCACATTTCCAGCTCACGCTGCTCTCTGCCTCTCTCTCGCAGACGCCGCTGGCCTGCCTCTGGATCTCCCTCGCCGGCGTCCGCAGCTCCGTCCGCGCCCCTCGCCGGTGTCCACAGCTCCGCCCGCAGCTCCGTCCGCAGCTTCGCCCGTAGCTCCGTCCGCAGCTCCATCCACAGCTCCGCCCGCGCCTCCACCTCCGCTCGCTCCTGTCTCCTCCCCTGCCGGGACCCAGTAGCTCCGCCCGCCTCTGAGGCTCCTTCCTCGACGCCTGGAGGACGGACACGGGAGGCCTCAAGCATCAAGATGAGCCACCAGTCCCACCACTCTGCCTCCTCTGAAGGTTATTGTCGCTACTCTGCTGCTGTGTATTACATCATATATATAGTATATACATGGTCGATCAGGCCATCTAGGCACAAGGACGACTAAATGTCCGACTAGCCGATTAGACCGATTAGGACCGACTTCGTCTGATCGGTGGTCATACGACTAGCCTCGATAATATGATCTAAAAACATTGGATGGTACTAGAGTGTTTTTAAAGCTGAAACATTAGGTTGTGTATGTACAGCTTGGCAAAGAATTTCTCAGGACTCTTCACTATCTTATATGTTAATTCAAACTTACAGACTCCCTTTGCTGGTTTTGAGGTTTTGTTGTTTTCTCTTTTTCCCCCTTCTTTTGATTGCTATATTTCTCATTCGAAGACCTTACGATTTATTACTTGGAATTGTCATAGCCTGTTGTTACCTTCCATTTGGTTTCTTGGCCTATGAAGTTACTGAAGATGGTTCGCCTCTATATATGGTGCTAGAGCCTTGTTCTTTCCTTCGGTGCATATGTTGTCTTTTCACAGTCCATTGATTTTACGGCTGTAATGACTTGGCCCGTAAAGGGTTATCCCATAGAGGACTGGGTTATGCTTAAATAAAATGTGTGAACTACAACATGTTCAGATATGGAACATGGTGCAGTCCTGTATGGGCGCACCTGTGCTTTGTTCGTGCCCAGATCTTTTTGGTTAGATTTGGTTCCATATGTGCACATCAGTTGTTTGTGCAAATGACTGATTAGTTGGCCTGCAAAGATGACAACATGTCAGATTTTTGTTCCAACCTTGCTTCTTTACTAGGTAACTATATTGTGTTTCCTGTCCTTGGTGGTACAGTTGGTTGCTCATCCCTTTTGTTAAATTTCCTGGTTAACTACACTATACCTTTCTTGGGAAAACCATGCATCATTTCACTGGATGAATACCAAGATTATTTTGTTGGATAACATATGATGTTCACTGGATGAATATAACAGTTTCTGCTTTCCCTTTTGGCTTCTTCCAATAAGATGTATTTAAGTCATACTATCAATTAAGCGAATTAGAATTTGGATTCATACATGGGATTACTGTTTACTTTTGTGGTTATTACCCTCTGATCCTGAACACTTGGGCAATTGCTTGATTGAAATTTCCATTTTTTTACCATTAACATCCATGTTAAAAATGTCAGTTGTTACCTTTCTCTGATTACTTGGTACTATTTATTTTGTACTATTGTTTCTACCATCGTTAGTTTACTCTTAGATTAGCTACAAATTCTGGTTTAGTGTGTACAGAGAACTGGCATTTTATATGAAGGTTTATCAGTTGCCTTATTTTCTTTATATAACCTGACATGGCTAATAGATTGGCCTATTTTTCATTTTTTATTTCTATTGCTCCTCTTTCTTTATTTTACTCTTCTATTCTTCTTTTATTTCGCTAATTCATTTTCTCTGTTCTTTGGTTCCGTTTCCTTTCTGCCTGTTGGCCTTCCCATGAGAGACCAGTTGCTTCCAAGACTTCAAAAGGACATCTTCGAAATCCTCGTTGTTTCCGATCTGGACACGCTCAATTTTCAGTTGAGGACACGGGTTAATAATTCTTAATTTCTGATGTCCAGTTGCTTCCAAGACTGAAAAAAACAGGAA